AGAATGCCGACCGATGTGAGATCGGCAGTTACTCGTCTTTTTAATTGGATAATGATATTTCGTCTGAAACTTGCTTCGGCTATGGTGCGTCCCAATGTTCATTTAAAACTACGTCAGAGTCAAGTAAGGCAACAATCAAGTCAAGCTCCTGTATCATCTTCGGTACGTTTTCTGCTTCAGATGCTTTCATATTCCAAATTTGCAAAGCTTCTACGCTCTTTAATACAAGTTCCGACGCAAGAATTTTCTGATTTCTCCATCACCAGTTTGCTTATTTCCACCAATCACAATCCACTGTCATGGGGTTTTGATTATCAAATGAGGGACACATTCCTCTAAAACCATTTCTAAACAGTTTCGATCAATTTACCATCGATATACGACAAATTTCAGATGTGCATGACCCAGCGTCGACGCACTGACTGGCGTCGTAGCAAGTAGTTCCAAAACCAGCGTTGCCACTGACGTGGAGTCCAAGGCTAGCGAGCGGGTCCCTGATACTGAAGTTGCTCTAACATCCAGGTATTCCATCTACTCATTCGACAGACATGGGGGCAAATGCATCCTCTGCGACTCATCGCTGGTGAGGTCGCACGCAGTCGTGTCACGTGCATGTTGCAAGACCAGTTTCAAAACCCCACATGAGATATCTAACTAACTGCCTCTTGATTACGCTACGCTCTGACGATCTGGTATCAACTCACCTAGTCGGCCGAGCGAACGTGGCTTGGAATTATTTCCCGCACGACAAATAACCGACAAAATTCGAAGCTGTGCGATCCGTGAGACTTAGGCACAACACGGTTACTAAGCGCGAGTTGAACGCGATCCTAGACCGAAAGCAATTTCACTCGCAAATACCTAACCCCAGATAAGAAGACAAAAGTACAGGACTCTTGCGTAGGCACTTTTACCGGCCAGGGTCAAGGCGATTACAGTGCAGTCCAACGTTTCTGTTATACCTCGTTGGCGCCGATGATTTGCGGAAGTAAACCGTGCAAGCAACTACGTTGGTAGTGCGCAAAAGTGCCAATGGAACATGTTGTAAACTGAATGTTGGTAGATGGGGACTTTGGAGTAGACTAGTGAATATTTGTTAGGTAGAAAAATGCTGAATCTTTTATGATTGATGGGAGATTGGTCGGAAAAAGTAATGTTTTCTGAAGTACAAAGGCCAATCGAAACGTGAATGTCTCACGAGGTGGAAGGATGATAGAAACATGGTCACTTGTCTGAATAGGTTATCATTGCATTCAGCGGTTTAATCTTGTGATCATTATGGGGACGTTGCGTACCCGTAACACGTCATCTCACTCAGTGGTTTACGTCATCCGCAGTAGCAATTGTGTTGGTTATACATGTGTCGCTGCTTGTCTCCCACGACGAAGTATAAAGTAAGCAAAGCACACGAGAATTCTACCACACACATTTCCAACGCCGAATGTACATTTTAATCACATACACATTGATCATGCAGATCCACTATAGCCACCGACGAGCTTCATTTAGATATAAAATTGCGAAGACAGTTTCACCAGGTGCCTGGTGGTCTCAACTATTCCAGTCCAAGCTACGAAAAGCTTAGAAAGCTTAGTAGTGAATACGACTACCTTGTCATATTAGTCATTACCTATGGTGGGTCACTTTTCGCTTCCTATTTCACTACCTTTCTTAATAATCTAAAATTTCGCTATGTCCAATAAACATGTATGTTTTTTGTCTGTTAACGGTCTGAAAAGGCGATTGCACACACAGTCTCGATCACATACCGATCTAGTATAATATGGAAAATGTACTCCTTCCTCCTAGGAAGCAGTGGGTACAAAAAGAGTTATTTCGGCGCTACAATAGCGCAGATATGCTGCTTCTGCATACCTTGCCTGGAATAGACACTTGGTAGCTCCAGCGCCATCCACTTCCTCTTCCGACGCCGAGATTGTACAGACCTCGTAGCTCACTGATTATGGATTATAAGTCTATCCGCTCCCCGTTTAGGAAGAACATCAGCGCAGATGCAGGAAGCTGCAGCTGTACGCAAGAACGTGCACGCAGTTGGCATTAAATAGCTTCTGCAGTCACGGTGCATAAAGAATTTCGGACTTATCACATGGACGCGTAAAACGCCGCAAATGACTGAGGTGGTCGATGTGGCAGCGCGTACGCGCGGGCCTTACCACGACCGCAGTTCGTAGCTTGTGATTGGATGCTTGTCCGTTCGCGATCAATACCAGGGTTGTTTTGAATATACTGAGTGTATGTACCGTTGGCTTGAATAGAAGTTTGTGTTGCGTACCAGTAGAGTTCTGCTTCCTCGTTCGGGGCTTTGGTCGTGTTTGTTCAAGACCCTGCGTGCAGGGGACTAGTGTACGTGTAGATACAACAGTCGACAAGAAAGTTGCAAAGACAGTGTAGATGGATAAGGCAGCATTGTCATCAATCTCAAGTAGTACCTAGAGGGGGGTTACAAGTAAGGACTCTAACCTCTTATGTTTCAACTGTCGAGCCGACAACGTTACCCAATACCAGAAGATTATCTAACAAGATTAACCGCTGTGTAAATCAGATGCGACTGTCTGTTAGGCTAAGCAGACACTGCATATACTTAATATACACAAATATCTTGTCGAAAGTCGTCCTATTTTTGTTTAACTTGCTTGCTGAAAAGCGTTGGAATTATTGCTGAGCCTTTGCTTATCCTCGGTTTCTTGCTGAAACTCTTGCTCTATCCGTCAGTGAACGCTGGTTTGATGATCTCTAATGTCCAGCCAATGTAAAGTTGATCAATACGAAAATTTGAGTTTAGCGCATTTCAACCTGCTAACTGCAATCAGACAGCATTAGTAGGAGTTTCCATATGCGCCCAGATCCGCCCCATAATTTAGTCAAATCATTCAAATTGGTAGCATTGTTGTCAATTATTATGATAGCAAGTCGATGGTGCAGACATCCGCACTGACTTGGTCAACTGTCATGCTATGCGGTGAAAAGGAAGTGCTTTTCTGGTTTTTCCAAAATTTATCATTATGGTGCCACGTTGTCTTTACATTTAGTTGTAAAATTTCCTCATTTGCCATCGAACAGACATAAAAATGAGAAACGTAATACCACTTATGCATTCCTCCACGAGCAGCATTTAATATCACCACATCTCGCAGCAGGCTGCTTAATGACGGACGGTCTTCACTTACGCAACAATAGCCCCCCACTATCCGTGTCTATCAGTGGGACTGTGCGGTAACCCAGATGTTTGCCATTTTGCTTATGGGTTACTGAGTAAAATATAGTGCTATTGTATACCGAGGGAAATATGGCACCCGCTTGCTCAGCCTTTCGTTGCTTCTCTTCGGGCTGACGCGCATAATATTTTTGGCGCGTAATGAGCACGCTCAGGCCACACGCCGCCGTATTTGCGTGCTCTATAGCTAAATATCTCTCAGAAGTTGTGAAAGAAAGAATCAAAATTCTTCTCTAGCCCAATTCTGCAGCTGCCGGCCCTGATTGCCGGTTTGCCAATTCTGTGCGATGTAGCTGTACATATGTTTTATAGCATCCAAACATTTCTTCAAACTACCCTTCGGTAACATTTGCGAATAGCTTGCATGCCACTGAGGATCTATGCTTCTGAATTATTTGACCCTAAGCAAATTTGGAAGAGGTCAACTGCGAACACAAACCGCCGCCACGAGTTTTATATATATATATATATATATATATATATTATATATATATATATATATGTATGTATATTCGTTCGTCAATATTCAAGTCTCTGAGCCAACGCAGATGACAGCATTCGGCGGGAGCTACTAGGTGGGGCGTGAAGTTGTCTTGGAGGAAACTTGCAATAACATCACTGGTTTATTCATCAGCGGTGCCCCTTGCTGAGGCTGATGTTGCATTTATGATGCTTCTTCACCGCAGTTGGGCTAAACCAACTTACACTTAAACTAGGTCTTTTTAATGTGGATACAATTCATTACATGTTATTTGGTTTGTTCTGCGTACTTGATAATCTTCTCCCAACTTGCACACCTCGCTCATGCTAATTGTAGTAAACTTGCGTAATTGTATCGCGTGGTATGTTTTTTAAATAACTCGGACATTTTGTACTTATCACGGATTCACTTACAACCAATTTCTTCTACATGCTCATTTAGCGAGTACTTATGTCGTCATATGCGTTTACTTTATTCCATATCGGCATTTCGAATGATTGGCTGTTGTTTGACATCCCAGATGTGGCTGCTCTTGATGTGCATGTTGACAAGGTGCCTACCTGTCTATTACCCACTACCTCCTCCATGATGGCTCCAGGAGACAGTTGGTCGTTGCTGGAGCGGACGGGGTGCACGGTCCTTGTGGTCGTGTTAGGCTCGAAGAGTGGTTCCATGCACTCAGTGTGGAGCGGACTACGGTCCAGCCACCGCATTGTGTGCGCTTGATTCCCAAATACAGCGTGCTTGTGTTTGTCTGTGAAGGAATGCGGGCCGGCTCCGTTGATGAAACGTGATTCCCATTCGCATGCCTCCCGGTCTTATTCCTTCGGGTTCACACTGGATATGGGGTGTGTGGTTGGAGCTGTGGGTGGTGCAGCGCAAGCCATCCATGGTCCCTCTGTAGGCGTAGGCGTCTTGTGGCTGGCCACAGTGACAGGCAAATCCGAAACCGGATGCCGCCAACCATATTCATCAGCGGTACGTGACACAGTCCAGCTATGTGTACTGATCAATATATATATATATATATATATATATATATATATATATATATATATAGGAATATCACCATTCCCAATTATTGTATAAGAGAACGAATGCAGTTCGGTTTGCATTATTGGCTGTCGCAAGTTCGGCGGAATACCTGATAGTTGAGAGAGCAGGCAAGGGCATACCGATGAACAAACGTGTGGGGAACAGATCGCAAGGAAACGTAGCACTATATGACCAACAATCAACAACAAGAGGGCCGAATTACACCCCTTGATTGCAAAGTAAGTGTAACTAAACAAATTGAGCATGAGTGGCCGAAGTTAAGCAATTGAAAGTAGCAAACACACCTGTTTCCTTCTCGTCGGTCGCTTCTGTCTCCTCCGTCTCGTTCGTTCCCGTTGGCGTGCATGGCTTCAAGATTTCTGTTGAACAGTAGAAAAGGGAAGGCACATATTCCAGGGTTAATTGACTGTACTGCGATACTGTGCTACATGACACATCCCCGAAAACTCTGGCAGTAAGTTCGCACTTCTGCATGTGGTCACTTTCGCGATGCCCCAGCAACCAACCAGCAGGTGGGTATTAAGTGGATGAGAGGGGTTAGTGAATGCGAAGGAATTTGTATGCATTTTCTTCGTTAGCTTCCTTGCTTGAATGACAACTCTTCCTCCACAATACAAGTAGAAGCAAACCTCACTAGACTTCGCGCGTTCGTGTGGGTTCCGTTTCGGCACGGAAATCATGTGTGAATGTATCGAATATGACACAGATCAAGTAGGTTGGAGCATCTGTAAGTCGACTTCAAGGCGCAAGGGGTACGTAACTGTTATCGCAACAACTGGACACGCAACGGTGATAGTTAGGCTGGACTATTGAATTTGAGAGGTGGCATGCTTCAGCGAATTCAGAGAACCTAAATTCAAAATTTGGTTGCAAAGGGAAATAAGTAGCGCATTTGCTGCAGCCATGCGGGTTGCATGAAAGTAATTGTTATTTAACAGGTCCATTATCTTGACAAAGCTTTTTATTTTCAGGGTATTCTAACCATGCAGATCGATACAAAAGCCAGCAAGTACAACTCAGTTTGTCCATGGAATCCTTGCCTTCTATTGCAAACACCTATTTACCTGTCAGCTGTTCGTGCAGCCACTTAAGTGTAGGCGTATTAACGTGTACTTCCGTTGTTGACTCATGCCGTACAACAGTGGATTTTCATCGGTAGTATAGATAAACAGCTGGACTTCTGTCCAATATCGAAAGTGACGAACTGCTAAGTAGATGAACAAGCATTCTCTACTGCATCCTTTGTAAAACCATTCAGCAAGCTGCCGAGTTTAGACAAAGGCGCTAAGGACATCCCTATGTCATTCACTTGCTGCGGAAGGATAGCGGTCAATGCCTCGTCTAATGCGTCCTTACTGCGCAACAGCTGAGCTACCACATCGTGGTGCTTTTTAGCAATTATGCTGGCGATAGTCACTTGCAATGGTTTGAATCTTCAACCCTTGCATATCTTGTTTCGGAATTTGTGAAAACGTAGGCAGGAAGCGGTGTGGAGTTCATACACAGAAATTGAAACCACTCAAGTAACTCACGTTCTTCCCCGGCTAACCACTGCTGCTCTGTAACAAGAGGTGGAATGAAGTTTGTGGTTTACGGAGGAAACACAATGTGATTCTATGTGATATCCAAACTAAAGCCAACCTTGTGACAATTTAGCATTCAGAAATTGGAATACAACACATAACTTACGAAAGTGGAAGCGAGATTCACCAATGTTGTAAATGCTCCCCGGAATAGCAGGTGTAGTTTTGAAACTCATAACGACCGTCTCCTGATTCAGAATATGTTTAGTATCCGACCTGAATTCCAAACGAAAGTGTCCAAGGGGTATTCTTCCACTTGGCCCATAAAAAGTGCAAGTAGGCTTCAAATTAATTCGTTTCATGGCTTTTTTAGACCAGCGGGTGAGCTGCATGAAATAATGGTGAATTCGAGATTGCATCAGTTACGCATTTAGCTCACTGAATGCATTTTGATAAACTATCTTGAGTCTTTCATGAGTCTGAAGTAGAATTGTAAACCACTGCTTAGTCGGTCGGGTTACTAGCCAGATAAGGTTACGATGCGTAGGGAATTCTTTCATAATTCCTGGTCAAGAACAGGCTCACGAAATATATATATCCAAAGCCTGATGTTGTTTGTCGATATAATATTGTTAATGGTTCCTTGTGGCCAGTTTATACTGTGTCCATCATGTGCGCTAAATTGCGAAAGTTCAAACTGTCCTGTTGATAGCATGACTGAAATGGGGCCATAATTTACTTCAATAATGGTGTTTCTAATTTTAATATGGAGTAAGTATAGTAATACAATTCACAGCTATCAAAACAACACCAACAACATCACTTAATGTCTCGGAATTCCTGAAGTTGCGTACATTATCTTTGCGAGTGCCAAGGACATAAAGTAAGCAAGATGCTGAGGAACTCTACACCCTCAACAGCTTGTCTTCTGTGTAGTACTTGTCCGTCCTCCTTCGGGATCACCTTGCATTCATTCTACATCCATAGATCTGCGAGTGATGCAGGGCGGGTCATCCATTTCTCACTGTGGACTCCGACGTCCCTGGCCATTAGTTTCCATGTTGTTATGCAAATTCGAACTCGTTACATCCAGCAAAGCCTCGTATCAATCTTCTCGAAAAATACATATATTTATTGTTTAACTACAATTGCTGAAGAAACACCAAGCTTTAGCTGCACAATAGAAGGTTGAACATCTAACATAGAGATAACGTTTCATTGGATTATTCCTTGAGTTATATTCATTTATTTGTTGTTAGCACCTAAGTTGTTAGGGGTAGCTAGCGTTTTTATATGGATTTTGCAATTACCTAAATTACAGGTTAAGGTGCTCATATTTGCAGCTATTAGCATTCACTAGTTTTCTGAACGCAATTTGCAAAGAAGACAGCAGTTGCCATTCACATGCTTGTTTGGTAGACGAAAAGTATTAGCAACACTTGAATAGTTGCCAGGATATTTACCGAAAGGCGTTACTCGTGACTACTATTGCTCATCTAAGCAAAACAAGAGTAGCTCCCAGCATATATTCATCAGTTTATTCATTGTGAGATTCATTTCGCTCACAGCTTAGAACCAGCTGTGGTTGCTATATCCAGCCTCCGAACACAAAAGTATTGACTCGGTTAAATATTACTAACATAAGTGGTTTCCCTCACAGTCATAGCCATAGAGGACAATATACGGCGTCATGGATAACGTTTGATTAGCGTTCTATGTTATGCAATAGGTAGTGATAATCATGCTAGCTCCCTGGATAGCACTGAATAAGTTGCGTTGGCTCGCGCACGTGTTACGTATGCCTGGTCACCGCTTACTTAGGAAGGCATTGTTTAGTCTGCGAGATGTGGGTGGCGCAAGACTCGAGGTGGACAGAAGTTGACTTGGCAGCGGGAAATGAAGTCACTGACGACCAAATTGGGTGTCCTTGGTCCGTCTCACCTTCCGGGCTGGAGTCCACATTACTCGCTTTGTGCTTTGCTCAAGACTTTATAGGATATGACTCGCAACCGACACCAGTGGCGCGTTTGCTGCCGTCTCCTATTCAGATTGCCTGTTTAAAGTATGTTTGGTGTGGAGTTATCTGCGGGGTAATGGCTGATTATGAAGCGGGGCAATGAAAGTCACCAGTAAGCTGTCTCGCCCATGCTGCTTTACGTTGGCAAGATAGACAGCTTTTTATAACGGTATGTGGTCTACACAAGGTGTAGGTGCCTTGACCCTTAATGTTTGCTTACGGCATTAAGGTTCTCCGGTAAGTCCCCCTTCTCTCCCTCTTCTTATTCGTTATTTCATAGGTCCTCATGGTTGTATGGCAGTGAAGCATCAGTTCAAACGGCTGATGTACTTCAGTTCTTGTTGCTTTGTTATGTACTAAAGATGACATTAAATGAAGAAATTGTCAACACAGAAGTAGCGACTGCGTACGTTACCAGAAGCGCGAGTTAATAATGGCTAAATACTATGACTGTTTCAGTTTATGTGTGGCTTTGAAATACACAGCAACAATTTCGTTTTAATAACAACTGAAATCTGTTTTCGTATCAGTTTCCAATGTTCACGCACTCAAGCTATTCTTGCATTTACACAAGAATATTATATTGTTGATGTGCCCAACTCAGAGTTCATCACAGCAGCTCCCAAATCAGAGAGTCCTCCATATATCTGGGAAAGCACCAGACGGCCGTTTTGCCCCATCGGGATCCGTAAGTAGCGGATCTATTGGACCGCACCGTCACAGTTGGCTCGCAAATTAGGACAGTCCGCCTGTTTTCTCCATGGCTCAGTGACGCAAGTCGTTGACTGGCGGTTGACGGTTCTAGTGGTCATGTCTTCGAATCCTGATGAACCCAATGCGTACACATCATTGAGGAGCCACCATGGGACCTAAGGACCGTCTAGTACTTTCCGGGCATTCGGAGGACTCTCAGATTTGAAAACTGTTGTAAGCTACTTAAGATTTATTATTCTCGGATTGCAATATGATGGAGGTCACGCAACTTGGCGTTTTAGCTCACCCATCACGATCAGATCGCCTTAATATAAAACAAACACCGTAGTACAACGTTGCTTTACATTAATGCCTCATAGCCCTACACCCAACGTAAGTGGGTAGACTGGTTTTTATTTGATTGCATTGCGGTCACACGGCTATAGTCTGCATGACAGCAGGTGAATTGTAACCGACGTCCTTTACCGATAAATGACTTACGACGAGGTTCGGGGGAGTTTTAGCGAAACTAACAGTTGTTCCTACGCAACGGATATCCCAATACCGTAGAAGCGGCACGACGGCCATTGTAGGAGGCCAACTCTACCGGTACATTCACTGGAATGATACACAGTCAAAGTACCTAATCATAAGCAGGAGTGCGGGTATTAATCGCATCTGACAGAGAGTGACAACCACAGAATAGCGGAATACATAAGCTCTTTGTAGGACATCAGCTTTCTAGGAAAGCTTTGAGTAATGTATTCGGTCACCGACATGGCAGATCAGGTTACCTAAATTGTCAGTGAATTAACGATTGACTAGTATGACAGAAGTAGTTCCTAATGCTCCAGTGACACTATACGCTACGTTTCATGGTAACAGACAAACGCAGTAAATCCCGATCAATAAATAATTATGTTCAATATCCGATACTTCCACCCACTATTTCTCAAATCATGTTTTCATTGAAAATTTCTCCACCACTGGCAAAATTATCCACCGTAGCTAACGTGCATGCTATTTGCGGTTTCGGGAATAAAAGGTGGTTTACTCATCTTATATTTACATGTTAACAGAAAAGCCATTAAGCGTTCGCTTCACCTTCGTCTTCTTCCAGGCTAGAATAAATCGAATTTACACGGCAAATCCGGTAGGGACTTCCTGGTTGCCTCACACTGACTTGTATGATGGTAAAGGATAACAAATTGAATTTCCACTGTCTGTTAAAAGTAGCAATAGCTTGATAATCAGCTTTTGACGTCTGTACTTTATATAAAATATTGCTAGCTTGTTACTGCAACAAACTCGTCTGTCTTCTTAGCTGTCTACTATGGACTGTCATTCCTGTGTCACCGACGTAAGTGGCAGTATTGACATTTGTCAAGAAACGCTTCGATTTCGCGATAGCTTACCAACGGTTGCGTAAATAAAGTTTCGAGTTTTCGAAACCGTCCGGATAACCTTCATCACTTTCCTAATCCGTTCTAACAAAAAGACAACCAAAAACATATCCATTTGCAGTGTTAAGTACGCTGCTCACCAGAAGCCTGATCATTAACATAATAAACTTCGAATGAACCCACACGGACACTTTAACCGGTTTGGATTACTAAACCAAACGACTGACATCGCATTAATCCACCTCAGATAGAACATTGTTCCGTCGTTCTGTTACTGTATACTGCATTCTTATGAAAATACTTAATGGAAACAGGAATTTCGATTCGGTTTGAAGGAAAAGTAAACGTAGCTACGTAGTCGATTGGAGCTCAGCAGACTGAATGCCCCTCCATACAAACCTGCAGCCATGCTGTTGTAATTGGACCGTAGTCTGGTTGAATAAGTACCATATGCACCCCAAGCCAGAGGTTGACGAGTAGTGTGTTCATGCAATGCCTTCCGTAGAAAGGCCAGTATGAAAGTAAACTGACAGCAAGTATTCAATTTTCAAGAAGATTCTTCACCGGGAGTTTCACAAAAGTGAACCATCGCGCTTACCGCGGGACAAATGCTTTTCTCAATTTTCTTTAGCGTATTCATCTCATCATATGCGGTTCGCCATTCGCTGAGCTGTCCATTTTCGTAAATGTCGACAGCGAATGCAATGGCTGTTAATTAAAAAGGGAGAAACATTCAGCTTTAAAGGGCAAATCACAATAAGGCTAAAGAAGCCAAAATCAATTAATACAAATTTAAAACAGTTAGTTCCCTTTAGTAATTAGAAAAGCGCAGTAAGAAGACGAAGACTGGCAAATGCACGCATTTCGTACAATAATACAAATTTGTCGGTTTGAAAAGGAGGATTAAAAATTCCGTTCGCCTTTCCAAACAAGCCAAAACGGAGACTAATTTCGCACTTTACCTTGTCATTTAATTCAAAATAATTGCTGGACCTACCATTTATTTAAATTTCAGACCTCGCTTATTGTAGCCACCTGATAGGGAAGTGACTTCTCAAGCTAAGAAAAGTATAGTTAACCATTGTTGTATGAGTAACCAGCCTATTATGCAACTAACAGTAAGCAATTCGATATGTGGTAACCCATTTGACCCACCAGGCTGCAGTCGCTACGGATTGCTATGGATTTACCACGAGGCTGTGATGCCAAGAAACGTTTGTTTGTGGGTTCCGTCGAACAGATGTTCATGTACTGATGGTTGGAATTTAGATAAGCCGTACTATATCTGTAGATCGAAACAAAAAAAGCAAAATTACTCACTAATGCGTCCATGGTCAGCTTTCCCCACTGCAATAAACATGGAAAACCATTTACTCTGTACGATTAGACCGCTAAAGTAATATGACATATATAGTATATAATGATTTCAGGCGAGTAAAACTGTTAGATGAACAGTTGTCGTCGGTTTCAACTGAACATAGAAGATGTATGTAGGCAAGTTTAGCAGAGCCTGAAAACAGCTGTTTTGTGCATTTTCCTGGTAACACTTGCATTTAAGAGGAGAATTTCGGCAGATCAATTGTTGTTGTCATAATTATCAGTGAACGGCAAAGACTACAGGGACAATAGGTAAACCAGTCTGCATACAATTACTATTGCTGACATCCTTAAAATGAACTGGAGCAGATTTCCTTTGCTTCTTTTTCTTGCGTTCCCAATAGCCTATTCACATAGGATAGTCATTATACGCTCGTTTGAAGTGGATTTACTTGCTGTACTAATTGGACATCGCGTTACGGCATTGTTCCTTACGCATCACCAACCTAGCTGTGTTGACAGGCCTCATGCTCACCTCAAAGCGTTAAACTTTGTCGCTTCTGAACTACTTTCACAGCTGCGAAATTCTTTACGATGAACGATTCTTCGCTTTATCCGAGCGTTACAGAGTTACTATTATAACACAACTTATTTTGAAGCAATAACACAATGTGTACCTTCCACTTACATTTTTCAAAGGCTAACTCTAGGTCACCGGTATCCATCCAATACACGCCACGTGTGCACTAACATTCCAGAGTTAAATTCAGGTACATTAATAACTAAGCGGCTGGATAACCGAAGACAGTAGTATTCTATCTGCGGTGCGATTGATATTAGGGTTGAGCCCACCATGTCACAAAGCGCAGGGCGTCAATCAAATGAAATGAAATAGAGTAAACCACGTGTTCGCTGAGCAACTCTAAAACCAATTGACAAGAAAGAGGCCACAAGCTCTGACCACCAAAGTGTCGTCTCAGAACCAGTTTTGAATTTGGCATCTACTAACTCAGTCCTGACCTTCAAAACGCTATCGTGCTTGTACGATAACGCGTAAGACCTTTTTAGTAAGTTGGCATAACGTATTGTGGGTCAGATATCAAAATCACCGAATGGTATCACGAGTGCAGACTTGGTTAAGCCCTCAAATAACTGGTTTTAAGGTCGGTTTACTCGGTGTAATTCTTTAGCACAAACCTAACTCTGTTGTGAAATTTTGATCACTCGGAAATCCGTGCCCCTGATTTAGTTAGTGTTGGTTATGCTGTCGGAAGTAACACATACATCTCGTAGCCGTAAATTATTATTCATCAAACTTTACTTCGAAAATAGACTACTAACCCAAAACAGCTTTTAAAGGTTGCGGTGAACAAGTCATACAATGACGTACTTATCGTGGAATAAGTTAATTTTTACTAATGCTAAATGCCAGCAACCGTTGGCGTTAGTTTCCAGCTATTTGTATTTACCTGCACGTCACCCATATTGGCAGAATTCAAAATTCGAAAAGTCCGCTGTACTTGAACTTGTGCTCACCAACAAAGAAAGTATGATTCATGAAATAGTTACAAATAATCCCTTGGATCACAGGGATTGTTGCTCAACTAAGTGTCTACATATGTTCTGCTGAATATCCCGAGGAAGGGAAGGACAATGTATATGCGGTTCCACAATTAAACTTGGTACCGGTACTTATTAAGGAGATAGTTTTTAGCTTCTTAATTCAATGCTCCCCAGAAGTCGACTAAGAAAGGTTCACAATAACTTTTAGTGCACAGTGCAGAAATTATGATATTGTCAAACCGAAATGAATTTTTTTCTTGGGAGCAGTACAAGTGCATACACGTCCGTGAGGGAATTCGCATGCTGAATTCACGGGAACTCGCCAAATTCCAACACCTGAACTGCATACGTGACGCAGCGTAACTACTGCGTGAAGTTGGTCTGCGAGTAAAAGATGTCAGCAAGATTTTATTAAGCGATTGTGTGCCAACCACAGACACTTCTAAAAACAGGTGGGTAGTATGGTATGATGCAACGCAGTACCCCTGCACCGGTAACAGCGGATGGGTGCACGCGCTCAGCAATAGAAGCAGATGAGATCATACTATTGCATGCCTCCTATACGTTCCAAGGCGTATCGTGCCCGAATGTGCTCCCGTTTCTATGCACCCTTTTTCAAGCTTATCCAATGTCGTACTCACTAGTGATGCTGTACCAAATAAGCTATTGACGTTGAGTACACACTCACAGTCGTCCACGTGTCAACAGCGTTTGGCAGAAGACTATGCAGGTGGCACACAGTGAGCTGATAGAACCACTAGTCATTTTCTATCTTCGATGTCTTGAGGAAGTGATTCAATGACTATACCGTTTATTACCAGATAATGTGACTTTGTGTGCTCTTTAGGACTATGGAAGCAGTCATCGCTGAGACAATAAAATAGTAGTTGGTAGATAGTAGCACAAAACTCCTGGAGCAACATGACGCCTGCCAAATTCGTACAAGTACTACTACCATGTTAACTGCATGCAGTAGCTGGACCGAAGTAGTTGATGTTAGAGTTAGAGTCAATGTCATCTACTTGGACCTCTCCAAAGTGTACAGTCACTTAGACCATTGGATAATCTTCTATAAGCTTCGAAAATATTATATGGGTGACCCAATCTCGGTTAGGTGGACGATCTTCTACATGTACATAGGTTGGAGAGGTAATCCGGGAAATGCATGTCCAGTGCGATTGGGTTTATGTGCTCAGTGCAAAGACCTTGCCTATTTGTGGTCTTCGTGGACTATCTAGTGAGAGCAAATGCTTTCGCTGTGTTGTTCTCAATTGTTTTCAACAGTTGGTTAGCTAACAGGAGACCGGGGTACTATGAAGAGATGCTGTGTGAGCTTGAAGCGATTGCTAACGGGTCGACTCAGAAACTCCTGCCACTCAATTTAAAAAATATTGGTTTGTTCAACAAAGACATAGGTACGTGTACATTTGCGGGTTAAGAACACACGACCTGTAGTCTATTTTCCAGGCACGCGACAAAATGATTTCAACTGTTCAACCCATCTAGGACAGTTGCAAGGAGAGGAAACCAGCTTGTCCTACTAAAGCTAAGAGTGTTCGAGAGTTTATTCAATGATACACAACCAACATGCGCCCTTACCTTGGATACGATATCCAAACCTAGTAACCTTGACTAAAACGCGACCTCGAGGTGCTAAAAATACCACAGCGCACGGCAAAAATAAACGTCAAGGGGTTTTGCAATCTTGCTGACTAGAAAAGGCTAAAGTTACGGAGTTTCGGCGGTCAATGCCGAAGGCTATGCGGTGAAGTTATATTGGTGTAACAGATATTAAGTGACTCGAATCATGCATGCTGCCATGTGCTGAAACTCAGCCACAGGGCAAACATCAAACGTAATCGACTGGAAGTGAGTGGACAATCCCGCCTTCTAGAACGCCGACGGAATTACTTATCTTTTCGAAGTTTCCAGCCCTGAATATATCTCACAAATGCAGTGGACGCTTCCAGTAATTTGGGTACTTACAAAAAACGGTTGGCTCTTGCACATAGTCTTCAATACTTTACTAACTAATGCGTGCTACTCCAGAGTCTATTTATCATACCATCACACATAATTTCGGTATTACATGGACTGCGACAATCGACGCTCGAGCGTGCTCGCTTTTTTATTTTCCCCATGGAATGCGTCTATTTTATGTGCTCCCCATATTGTTTTGTGTTTTTGCATTCAATTCACATATAACACGGCCGTTATGCGACAACACATGCTGTGGAAGTGATTACATTTGCGCCATATTAATTCAAGATCTTTTTGCTTGATTTCAAACGAGTTCTCAGAGTTTGAGTCTATGTACTTCGGGAAAGCCTTATTCTTGATCCGAAAGGCGCGTGCTTACATTAGAAATTTTCACTCGGTAGTACTTACCTACGTGTTGCGTCACGTTACCAACTACAGGTCCCCTCTTCCTCCGTTTCTGCTTCGTTGTTTTTGAGAAAAAATGATACAACTTTTTCACAAATTCTGTCACGTTCACCGATTTTCCGTCTTCTTCTGCACTATTGATATTAACCTCAATGTAGCTTTGTTTCGGATGACCGGATAGGGATAGCAACTGACAGTCCATTTCGTTGGACGGCACATGCGTTAAGAAGACCATCGTGTGGTTCATCTGAAAAGATGTTTACAAAAATATCACAAATAAAATCAGCATGTCAAAGACAGCGACCAAAACGTACGCAGCGGCTTGCGGAAAGCTAATGCGAGCTCATACTGAACGTATGCTGTCGCATCAGCAGAGGAAGTTAAGCATAACATATTGGGGATGCCAATAGTACCCCCCCCCCAAATGTGCGTTGGTTGCCCTAACAAAACAGATATATTTGAGTTACTCACCCGTTCGCATACGTCTCCCTTTATTTTGGACGCCTCCAGATTGCCGGGTTCTCCTAACTCGTCCCTCCACATCATCTTCTCACCGTCCTTCTGGATGTATCCCATAACGTCGAAAACTTGAAAACAAAATAAAATACGTAATTGAACAATGGTTTATTACGGGTAAAAAAGCATTGCTTAACAAGTCCCGTGGGATGAAAATTATTGCGAAAAGGGAATTGCATTATAAAATGCAAAGCGTTGTGGTGGACTCACCATAGACTTATGTGAAATAGCGGAGATATTCGCGTTTTACACGTATATATCCATAAATCCATTGATTAGACGTTTGGCAAGACAGCGTTTAATTGCATTTTGTAGCCCCTGGCTAGCTAGTCATAAAATGAAATGTAAGTGAGACAGTGCATCGTCAACACCGTTTGTAAGTATCACCAGATTGGGAGCAGAGACGACATAATTAGGGAGGGCGTTCCAAGGCTGGAACACGCGGAGGGAAAAGAAATTTCTACGGCTTTCAAGCCGGCTATACTGAATTGTCAGTTTCGGAGGGTGACCTCTTAGGTTAGTGTTGTGGTTCAATTCCAATAGCGGACGGCAAATGTGGTTTGGGTTCTTCAGTATTTGGTAAACCATTATGAGATCCCCGCAAAAGCCGATGTCGACTGTTATACATTCTTAGAGATTTCAGTCTAAGCTGATAGGGCAGATGAAAGTGGCCTCTGACGTTCTTGGTTGCCGTTCGTTAAGGAGTCTTGAGAGCAACAAGATCCTGTTTCTGCCACGGCTGTCACGCCTGAATAACACATTCCACTTGCGGTCGCATGTAGGTGTTAAGTATTTGGGGAAAGACTGTGGGTTCAAACCAACCGAAGGCTCTGAGAAGAAAACCGAAGTGTTGATTGTCGGTTCTCGTCGCCTTCTGTGCTTGTTTTGAACACCCCAGATCTTCCTGTACCAATACACCCAGGTCACACTCTTGAGAGACCTTCCCCAAGGTGTTGTCTCCAATCTTGTAAGCGCTCACCGGCTGGTGGCGCAGATGTATCACCTTGCACTTATCTATGTTCAGTTGAAGCATGTTCCTCTTTGACCATTCGTAAATGCAACCTAAGTGATGTTGAAACAGACCATGATTTGGCTTGTTAGTAATCGCCCGCCATATCTTAACGTTATCGGCTAAAAGCAGGAAATATGAGGAGATAACTCTTGCCTGGTCGTTGATAAACACCAGGAATAAGCGCGGCTCCAACACTGAGCCTTGTGGGACACCACATTCCACCTCAATTGGGTTAGAGAGTGATCCTCTAACACGTACTTAAAGCTTACGTTGGTGAAAGAAGCTGCCAATCCAACCAAGTACAGGATCTCCGATTCCGTAACTCTGTAGCCGTTGAAGTAGGATGCGGTGATCAAGGCGGTCGAAAGCTTTGGAGAAGTCCAGATAGATGACATCGACTCCGACCCCATCATCAGCCACTTCCGTCCAACTACCTCGTGCAATCAGTAGGTTGGTGGTGCATGACCGGTGTTGACGGAAGCCATGCTGTTCCGGTACCAAGATGTTGCATTTTTCCAGGTAGTCCATTAAAGCCTCAGCGACGACTGCTTCCATCACCTTCGCGAGCACAGGGAGGAGAGTCACTGGACGATAGTTTGCAGGATCTGAACTGCTGCCGCATTTACAAATTGGGGTGAATATGCCATACATCCACATAGTGGGGATTTGTTGTTCATCAAAGCACCTTTGGGGGAACTGTGACAGTGGTTCAGCTGGCTTGTTGGCCACATCCTTCAGTGCCTTCGGGCGGATGTTGTCTGCTCCCGGAGAACTATGTTCACGCAGTGAGAGTAACTTCCTTAGCACAATTGATGGGTTGAAAATTACATGTGTAAACAGTGGAGTCAGTAACGTGCATAACATTATGGGACAGGTAGAGGTTGCGAGTTCGAAAATTGGGACGTATTGTAGCTGCAGGGCATTAGCTGCTTTTTCGGCGCCTTGTACCCTACCGCCTGTCGTGTAAAGTGAAGGGATTCCATGCTTTAGTTTACGAAGATTATTAACATGTCTATATAGAAGTTTGTTGTTTTCCATGAATTTTTTGGCTAGGCACTGTTGATAAGTTACTTTGTTCTCACGGACAAGTGCAGTGCAATAGTTGCGATGGGTCAGAAAATGACCCCAAGTCTCTGAGTCGGGGTTAATCTTGTAGGCACGCCATGCTGCATCTCTTATCGCCAGGCAATTGCGAGTCCTACTCCTTATAATTGAAGGCATTTTCGCGGGACGAAGGGACTTTGTCTCTGATGCTTTGTTGACGATGTCGCTGAGCTTATTAACGAACTCTGCCCAAACGTTGTCAAGGGGACTTTTGTTTTAGAATTCCCAAGCTGCTGCGTCGGCGAGTTCTTTCGATACATGGTAGCGTGTGACTGTATGAGTTAATTCCGAGTGATCAGATGGATACTCTATATAACACATTTAGTTAAACGTTATTACTACATGCTCACTGAGACCTAATGGACTATCCATCAATAACTTGTCAACCATGAGCTCTTCATTCGTGAGCACAAGGTACAATATGGACGGTTTGTTTGCTGCCCTGAATCTAGTGGGCGTGGTGATATGAGTGTACAAAGGAATATTAGGGATCAGTTCATGCAAGTCTGCATTGAACTGCCCACTGGGCGATGCCGAAACCTCCATGTCGTGTAGATTGAAGTCCCCGGAGATGAGAATGTGGCTGTACCTAGTCCGTATTACTCTGTTCAGGCTACGGATTAAGCGGGAATCCATTTCCGGAGTGGACGTTGGGGGGCGGTATATGACAGCAACGAGACATGCGTCGTTGTGTTTTAGTCGGAGACAGCACCAGAGTGAGCCGGTAACGTGTGTTTCCAGATCATCAACTATTGTACATTGTAGATCGCTGCGGTAGTAGAGTAAGACCCCACCTCCTCTGCTGGCACGGTCGTTTCGGATGAGTGACGTTCCGGCTAACTCAACCTCAGCATCAGTCACCTCTTGGTGTAACCAAGTTTCGGTAATAGAAATTAGGTCCCAAGCATTCGTAACCTGACATAGTCGAAGTTCGGTAATTTTACTGAGGAGCCCTTGGGCGTTAGTGTACATACATGAAAGTTTCTCAGATTTAAGCAATGTTTCGGAGCTTGTGCAATTCATACGTTAAGTTTCGCTGACCAGTGAGTGGCCGGCGACTAATCGTTTTTTCGATGTGTACTTGGTGAAGGGTTTAACGTCTTATTCATCGTCCATGTAGTTAGTCCTGTGTCTAATCTTCGACGTACAGTGTAAGGTGTCTGGTCAATATCATCTTCCACAGGTTGTATGGGCTCATTCGGCACACTACTGGTGCATTGTTCTTTCATAGATTCCATCGCGTTTGGTTCTTTGAGTGACATATCATCTCTAGGAGGCATATCGCTGATTGTCTTCAGCCGAACCTCATATGGTAGCCTGCAACGGAACATATACCAGCTTCTTAGCAGCCGTACCACCATATGTTTTGACTGAAGGACCACCTTCAACACTCTCGAGCCACTTCCTTTGTAGTTCGGTGAGGTACGCAGTCGTGACACGGATTTCGCTAACACATCATCCAAGCAGAGTGTCTCACGAATATAACACCACTGTTCTTTATCATAGGCTGTTACTTCATGCTCATCACTTGCTTCAATTTCAGGAACCCGGCGAAGAAGTATGGTTCTGGTTGAAGTTTCCTTCTCATATTCCTCTAAGATGCGGTTAACTCGATAACGCTCGCCCCATGGGATGTCTGGAAAGATACGGATGGAGCAGTGTTCATTTCTGAGACTACCTGTCGACAGTAGTACTGATTCTACTTCAGTGATGGAGTTCAGCACAACGCGCAGAAGTCTTGGCTCTCCGAAATGTTTGGAGTTGGGGTGTCGTGTAATACGCACTACGTGTACAGGTTTCAGTACAACTCCGATTAGGTTACTAATAATATCCCACTGGTTGAGGTCATCCAACTGCCTGCCTCTTATCGATGTCGACTTTGATTCTGGGATATTGGAGCACAGTACGCTCAGTACAGGTAGTTGTTTCTTTACACCTTTCGACATGTCGCGGTTAGTGATTGAAGTACTCGGAGATGTACCGCAGGAAACCGGTGGTGCTTGCACTAGGAAAACTCCGCTACGCTCCTCAGTTTCCGATCCAGTTGGGGGTGATGTTAATTTTAAATGACGGCTCTTCTTGGAGGCAACCGTAACCCAACTTTCGCGAGTAGCGGCTTGCTTTTTTCTACATACTCCGTCGGGAGTTTGGAAGTAGCCTTACGTGTAGTTACTCCGATCGAACTGGGAACCGCTTTAGTCAAATGTAGGCTACGTGTGATATTGGGACAGCTGTTGATGTTCTGGACTCTAGGTGTCGTGTTGCTTACGGTGTTATTAACAGTTCTTCGCGGGTTAGGAGCAGCACTTAAGGGGGAGGATTGGGTTGCACAGTCCGCTATGCTTACCCCAACCGTAGTGATTTTGGTGGTCACAATTTCCTCAAACTTGGCTAGTAGCTGGTCATACTTCTGAGATAATAGGAGCACGCTTTTTATCAGTGGGATCGATGTGCATTCCACGCAGAACCATAGCGAGGCTGGTTTGTTTAATAACTTGGCCTGACTAGGTTTAACTCGGAGGCATCTCGCATGGAAGGACTGGTAAAGGTTCCGGCACAAAATGCCTCACCTTAACAAGTTTGCAACATGATGCACATAGGTCTTTATTCTCCTGCACAAGGGACATCACGCTTGTTGAGGAAATATTACGAACCATTTGAATGACTCACCCTCTATGGTAAAAAGTCGTTCTGTTATTGACGTTGTCGGTAAGGTCACAGTGTTCACGTTGCAGTTGTGTGCTTACAGACTGTCCTCTCTGGCGTGCCAGCCGAATGTGTCAGCTTGAACGTGGGGCAGAATACACGAAGGTGGGATTGAGATTTTGCGTGGTTAAGCCTATGGATCGCTCCGAGTGAATTTGCTTTGAGACCTGTAGCTGTAACAAGCAATGTTGGATTTGAACGAGTGACAGTTCGTTCGAAAGCCCTTGAAGTGGTTTAT